AAAAAAAAAAAAAAAAAAAAAAAAACTAATACCATTCAGTGAAAGTCAGTATAAACTTTAATCTCACTGCTGTGGATGCTGAGTTGCATGGTCATGTTGTAGCCCCATTTTATTTAATCAATTCACCTTAATTAGCACAACAGATAACTGATAAGAGGTTGTAAAAACTGCCATATTTATTATCTAATTGAAATTCTTAGCAGGGCTAGGCATGGTGGCTTACATCTGTAATCCCAGCACGTTGGGAGGTTGAGGCAAAAGGATCACTTGAGCCCAGAAGTTTGAGGCTGCAGTGATCTATGGTTGCTCCACTGCAACCTGAGCAACAGAACAAAAGCCTGTCTCTAAAAATAAAAAAAATAATAATTCTTAGGTGGGTGCAGTGGCTCATGCCTCTAGTCCCAGCTACTTGGGAGGCTGAGGCATGTGGGTTGCTTCAGCCCAGGAGTTCAAGTCCTGCCTAGGCAATATAGCAAGACCCCATCTATTTAAAAAATTCATGTTTATCATTTTATTATATTACTTTATATATTTTACTTATTACATTTTTGTTACACACAATTTATCCCACCATTTCTGCTGTAATGTCAGAAATTTTAAAATGAGACTTGGACGAAATAAAGGCAATCCCTACAGATCCTTGTTATGTAATTATGAATCCAATTACTAGGTTTCATTCCATATTCATTTTAGAGAATAACAAGGTCATAAAAATTGGAAGCAAAAACAGACTGCTTCCAAAGAACAGTAAAACAAAAATGCCATTCAAAGAGATAATATGCAGTAGATATAAAAGACTTTGCCAGGCTTTCTTGAAAGGTGGAAGAGATGGGCAAAGGAGTGGATATGCAGATTACATACATGAAAGTGTATATGACCTTGAATATCTGTTATCAATCATTATGGCGGCCTTCTCTAATCACCATCATGCCAGGGGCTGGAGGATTACAAAAGTAGTATAAAACTTGTTCTAAATCAAGATGTGTTTTTTTTCCTTCTCTACAATGCTGGGGCGTCATGAATACTCAATTATCTGAAATCTTGTTTGTTTGAACCTTTTTCAGTATTTGCTTACCAAAAGATTTTTGTTTTCTCCTTATATATTAACCTGAAAATTTATCCTTTAAACGTTAATTGGTTCTGCTAAAACCTATTTTGTCCTTAAGTTATATTAGAATGATCATCTAAAAACAGGAATGCATGGGGAAATCGTGCAGGGAGCAGAGACTTATAAAAAGGTACACATAGAAGTGAGGTAAACTATGTTTTGTCTGCTAGAAGCCAGAATATGGAAAATATATATAAAATGTTGTTTCTTTTAATCTAAAAAGGATCATCATATGTTGTAATAAATGTGGCAGACAAAAACTCAATGTGTAGGAAAATGTTCACGCCTGCCCCTGTAAATTCACTGTGAGCCACTTTCCCACTGGAACATGGTGCTCAGGCACGCTGGGCCACAACCCCACATCAAGGCGTTCCTTTATTCCCCTGCCTGGAAAATTCTTCCTCAGGCTCTTGGCTAGGCTATTTCCTTATCCTTCAAGGCTCAGTTCAGATCTTCACCACCCAGAGAAGATCTCTGAATGCCCACCCAGTACATTATCCTTCCCCAAAGTACACCCAGTTTTTGTTCAGTTATTAAGGAGAAGCTGGTGCCAGCCCAAGTGCTAAGGGTGGACACTGTTTGGCTTAGACCAATCTTTACATCCTTGGCCACAGTCATTGGTTCAGGGATGGGCATGTGACCTGGGCAGCCCAATCAGGGTACTCTCAGGACTGTGGTTTAGAATGTGTGGCTATGAGGGTATTTCTCTGCCCCTTTCTACCACCCCTTTCCTTCCACTCTCTCCATCTTCTTCTTCCTCCAGGCACTGTTGTGAGAGGTGATGAGGCCCAGAACCATTACAACAACCTTACTAGCATCCTAAAAAGGAAATGACACATGGAGGTGGATAGAACTTAAAAAATTAAGTTGGAGCCTAGGGCTGAAGTCATTCTTCAGACCCATCCTACTTCTGGATTTAAGTTATGCCAGCCATACATTTCCTCACCACTTACGCCAGCTTGAATTGGGGTTTCTGTTACATGCTACCCAAAGCAAGTAACCTTCTTAGAAAGGTCTTCCATGACCTTATTACCTAAAGCCCCTCCTGGTTCACTCTCTGTTGTTATCCACTGATTTCCTTCACAACATGTACCACACTCTTATACTACAACATATAGCTGCTGATCTTGGGGTGTGTGTGTGGACTTCCTTTCTTTGAATTGTCTGACTCAGAGGGCAGTGACTGTTTTTCTTCTTTCTAGTGCATTATAGATGCTCAATCAATATTTGTTGAATGGCTGAATGAAAAAACTTACGGGGAAAGATTTTCTCTAATGCAGAGTTTCTCAGGCTTGGCACTGTTGACATTTTAGGCTGGAAAGTCATCATGTGGGCTGTCCTGCACCTTGAATATTTAACTGCATCCCTGGCCACAACCCACTAGATGCCAGAAGCAGTGTCCTGCTCTTCCTTCCGCCTCCATCTCACCCCTGTCCCAATTGCAGCAACCGAAAATGTCTCCAGACATTGCCGAATGTCCCCAGTGGACAAAATTTTATCGAGGTTGAGAGCAGTAACTTTGATTTAAGCCTAATACAAAAAGGGCAGAGTCTCAGAATGTGTTTGATTTCGAAACCACAGAGGCTAAGAGATGGGAGAACGGTAACCCAGGTCTGAATGAGTCGGACAACTCCAACCTGTAGATTCCGTACAAGAGGAGGGACATAT